AAATCGCTAGCCACCATTGACTAACCACTTTAATCGGTCTTACACGATTAAGTTAATTGTATTCAGAAACCTGTGTCCGACCGATTTCGCCTTTCCCTGAAGGGGCTCCCATCCCCTAAGCTAAAATTTTTCTCGCCAAAATCAACTGAACCTCTGAAAATGCGTACAGTTAATTTTGTCCCCATTCATTGCTACCCTCCATACGATAGGCCATTAAACATTGATTTACGGGAAATTTTCAGCGGACTTTCATTCACCGCCAAATTTGTCTCTTTTTTCTTCACCCACAACTGTGTTGATGTTTCCTTAGCAGCCTCCACAAAGCCACCCTTTTACTTTGTAACTCTTCCTTTTGATATTCAGTTGGATTTACCCAAAGCACCGGGATTGGGGTTATTCCTTGACAACGTGGACTTTACCCGCTACAACACCAGGTTCTGCAAAGACGGAAGCCATCATCCAATTGCGTGGGATAACTATAAGGTAAACTTCGTACTCATTTTATGTCGTATACATAGGTATTTTGTGGAGGTTAGCCGGCTCGTAGTTTTAACCTGTTGTTTTTGATGCTCCCGTTCACATTGCCACAATTTTCCCGCTTGTTTTCACGAACTGGATACTTACACTTACAGAGTTTACAATGACAAAAGATGACGGAGCTGGAGACATAAAGTCTTAAAACGGAAGCCGAGTTTGCACGCACGCAAGTTCTAATGTGACTTATAAGTGATCTTAGCACCCCGCTATCAGGAAACTGCTTTGGAAGGTTTGCCCATACTATTTTTTAGGTCGAAGTTACTTTCTGTGCAATTATTAGGCTGCTGGATTGATTTTTCTTGGCAAATCTAGTCGATTCATAGGTATAGGTTTGTTGCTGTCATTGATAATGGGTATGGGCATGTGTTTGTTGCGTTTTTGATTCAGTAGCTGTAGCCAAGGCCATTGCCTGTCCGCCATAGTCTTCTAAGGTCGACCATCAACAGACTAGAAGTAGCAATCTCACACCAAAACCTGATGTCAAATAAATCCGTCAAAGTGGTGAAACGTCCCAGGTTTCATGTCATATTTGATGTAATTTTGCGCCTAATGGAATGAAAGCACAGGTTGTTAGACTTGCAGTGTTGCACACTGGTGTAGCCTACTGATCGCCTAGCATTTAGGGACAACCAACAATGAAGGACCAGAGGGTTTGACGGCGTACACGAGCTCAACCGCGAAAGTGCTAAAAAAGTAATTAGCACCTATACTGACACGACCAAGGGGAACCTTTCAGTGCTACGGTGTGATGCCGGACAGCTCACGACCTTGTTGTCAATAGAGCCCTGGCCTCCCTATAGTCATTCCATCACCCCAGGTTCCCCGCAGACGGCGTGCAATAGGAGTTGGGCTAGTGAAACGGGGCAGTCAGCGCGGGTAGCCATCGTCATTACAAACTGCCATCTCATGGAACTTAAATCTTCCTTCCTTGGTGTATGTTCTGACTCGCAATCTCGAATCCAGAAAACCATATCTGAAATG